ACATTGAACAAAAATTTAAACGTTAAATTTTTAGAGTTTTATGACTTTCAAATTGTGCAAAAATTAATTATTCAAATGTTGTTGACTCTCTGTACTTTCACCGTGTTTCATAGTTAGCTTAAGCTTTTGACCAAGAACTTTGATCTTCGACGTAACTGCGTGGAAAATCAAATTATATGTATATTTTGGCAAATTTACGCGCAATTGAAATGAAGTTAACTCGTCAATCTTTAACATTGATCCTAATTAGTCCATTTGCTCAAAAAACCCTTGGGTTGTGATTTGAAACTTAATCTTTGGGTCATAAACATACAAGCCCAGTCATACTTCTAAGATCACTACCAATTCTTAAATAATTTGACCAATGCACCACTATTCTAATGAATTGTTGTTATAAACCGTCAATTTAGCAATTTCAACACATTTACGTTGTTTATCAACAATTTAAAATAGATTTCTTTTTTTATGAAAAACTAGATAATAAATAGTTTTTTCATTTTTTTCGAGGGATAAAGAAGGACTTGAACGGATAAGTATAGCATGGTCAAACATATTTAAAGAGATCAACTCTTAGATTTCCTAATTTTCTTTCCTTCACAAGACATGAATTTGGCTGCAGTAAAAACAACATATTGGCTTTGAAATCTATGGCTACCTCTTGCAAAACTCTTTTTTATTTTCCTGATTGCAACATAGTCAAAAACTCAACTTAAGAAAGTCATGAAAATCTCCTACGTACAGTCCAATAAAATTAAAAAATTAAAAAAAATTAGTATAAACAATCTATACTTACAATTAAAAAAAAAGTATCAGTTTATATATATATATATATATATATATATATATATATATATATATATATACACGACATTTGTCTCACATGTATTATTTCGTCCTGTACAGAAAATATGTTTTATAAAGCCTCATTTCAGTAAAATATTTTAAATTTACCCTAATTAAGTAAAAAACTCATTTATGAGAGATTTGAATGCATATCGAAACATTAATTGATTATTATTGTTTTCTCCATTAAGAAAAAGTTTGTTCTTCAACATTGCGTTGTAAGGTAATGGTTTAGCCACCATCTATGTCCTCTCAAACAATGCATGCATGTAATTTTCTTATTTTGGAAACCAACTTGGAAGTAATCATCTATTAACATGTGTCAACAATATTAATTCTTAATTAAGAACATTCACTGCAAAAAAAAAAAAAAAGGCATTATTTGGGAGGCTTTGCATCATCTTGAAGAGCGATTTTGACTACTATAACAAACACTTATATGTAAAGTAGATGTACTTATAGAAATTTTTCTATTACATTGGGGAATAGGTTGAAGTAGGGATCAATTTTAAAACCTATTTTTTTCATTAGTTTTTAGAAAATAAATAAGTATCAAATTTAAAAATGAAATAAAATTTTAATTTTTGCACAATTTAGGGTAAGTATTTTTACAGACGTTATGAGGTGCTAACCCTCCTTGTGCATAATTAAATTTTCAAATTTGATTTTTGTTAGTAGACCATTTTTTTAAAGTTTTTTTAGGATTCTTTAAAAATTTTGGTAGTGACTTCTTCAATCTCTTTCTTTTCTTCTTTCCTATTTTTTATTAAACATTATTTTCTCCCGTCATGGTCCTGATTGTGACAAATGGCAATTCTAACGGGGTTTAGATTACTTTAACAAGCATTGTTATGCAACGTAAATATACTTGGAGAGCAATTATCCAAGCGATTTATAAGTTGAGATTTGAAATATTTTGTAGAACTATGAAACTTGAATTTGAATTTTATTTTGTTACAAACTAAAATAATTCTTGGTGAGTTGAAACTCAAATTTGTGATCTAAAATTTAAATTTTTTTCTTTCATGAGTTGAGATTTGAAACCTAATAAGATGTTTCACGGTTAAGAGAAAGAAAAAATGGACAAAGAAGTGAGAAAGGTGCTTGTAGAAGTAGACAATATTAGGTAGAAAGGGACATGTTCTCATCTTTGTAACAGTTAGTCAAATTTGGTGATAGAGAAAAAGATGAAGGTAATGAGAGAAGACCAAAAAGAACAAATAACGCTACTATTATAAGTTGAACAACATTTCACCTTATGTATTTATAAGTTAAAAGTAGCTAAGATATTTTAAAATTTTAATATGTGAAGATGGTTGGTACATAACCATTTTCTAAAGTATCATTTAAAGAATGGTTAATACATAATTGTTCTTCAAAAGTGACAGTATTTTTTTAAATGACTTTGAAGAACAGTTGTGTAATAAATGTTCTCCAAAATCACCTTTAAAAAACAATTATGTTATTTTGCATTGTAAATGGTGTAGTTTATTCTCTAAATCTTTTGTTGTGATTTTCATGTCAAAGTATTTTACAACAAGACAACCTTTTCCATTATATTTTAACATTCCTTCAAGTTTTAACGAGTTACATAAATATTCACACAAGAATCAAAATGATCATTTTGCATAAGCCATAAACCCTTTTTCCTCGTAATCATGTCTTTATAAAGGATTTTTTACCCCTTCCTAATTTTGACCTCTTGCAACTACAACAATTGGATGTATTAAAGATTCCTTATATGACATAAATTTCTTCATAAGGAAACTATAAGGTTTGGAAGAACTTGTATTTGGTATCACCTCTTCATCATTCATGCAGTAATCTATATCAATAATGTCTTTGATGATAATATTAGGCTTTTGAGTCTTGACCCTTATTGTGCTCCATCAAGTCAAGTCTTCCTCGAGAGGAAATCTTAGCAAATTAAGGAAGTAGACACATCACTATTGCATGAAAACACCACAAAACTACGTGCAAGAAAATTAATATTTTCTTAACTAAGATAAATAATAATATTAGGTAATTAAAGCAAATATTAGGTAATTAGACAAATAGAAGTCTAAATTTTACAATAGTTGTTATCCAATTCAAGGTCCGGCCTTATATGAGGAAAAGACTTTGTATTTAATGGAACGATTATTTAGAAATGTGAATATTACGTACATTTATGTTATAAAAAAATTATAAAATGTAATTATAATAAAATTTTCACACCAATACTTTTGCTATTCCTTAAAATTCTATTCAAAATTATAGTCGACACTAAAAATATAGATCATATATATATGGAGCAGAATTTTTTTACATTAGTATAAATTTAAAAAAATTTATACTCAAATTGATCATAAATTATAATTCGTTACATGTAAATTAAATAAAAGACATATATATATATATATATATCGCTTTGTCTATAAGTCAAGACCATGCCCATTCAACTACTATTATACGATTAATAAAAAAGTTACTTGAATTTAACAAAATGTCAAGACCTGTTAAATTCAAGACCAGAAAACGTACACTATGCTTGGGAGTGCACTAGGATTTAAATATTTCACATTTTTTTTATTAAGATTAACTATATAATATAATAATATAATACAACTACTGAATGCACTTCTTAATGTTTAAAATTGCCTATCTTTGAAGTGAAACAATTTTCTTCGGATCAGAAATATTTAAAGCATGGTCTTTTACTAGGACTTTTGTATTATATATAAAATTAAATCTATGGTTTAATTTTAAGAAAATAAAAAATGTCATTACTTTAAACACCGTGATCCAAAATTTTCTATTGTTAGATATTCCAAACTGTACACCAAATGTGGCACTTAGCGAGTGGAATAACCAATGAAAGATTATTTTAATTTAATTAGTTTCCTCAAGTTTGAGCCTTGTCCTAAATATGAAGTTGTGTTTAATACTCAAAATAAAAGTCTTGTCACTCATAACAATCATATTCAACTTGAGCAAAATTGTTTCATGTGATCCTAAAAAAAATTATCCAAATCTAGATAACATTCTGAGATACATAATAGTGTTTAGAACTTGAAGATCTCTATATGCATACTAATATGTCTTTTACTTTATTGAAACAGTCAATTATAGCAAGAAAATAGTACAACTAACAAACTAACATAATCTTATTCAACATCTTATTTGCCTTGAGCAAGATTGCTTCTTAAGAAGGATATTTGTAATAAATACTTAATAGTCCTTCCCTGTGTTAAAAAAGAATTTGAAGATCTTTCCAAAAAATCTTTTACTTTATTAAAAACTTTCAATATAGCAAGAAAATAGTTCAACAAGCAAACTTACTATTTTGTTTAAGGTTTATTTCACCTGGTAATTGCAGCATGTGTAGTACTAAATAGTCAAATAAATTTGACATGAATATTCGATATATCTTATGTTACGTAAAAGAATAGCTTGAGTAATTGATACTAAAACAATGTCACTTTTGATCTTGTGTACGAAAAAAAATAGGAGAGAAAATTCACTTCACTAGGAGATTAAGAATTCTTGCATTAACCTGGTCTGCAGTTTGTTTTATCGGTTTAACAGTCCAGATATGTTCTATTCATGGATCACAGTCATTATACCCCTTGTACATATCTGAATCCACAAAGTAAATATTGATACAGTTTAAGTCTATTAAAATTTACTCGGGATAAAAATTCATTATTCAAAAATAAAAGTCCAAGAAATAAGAAAGAAAAAAAAAAACCCAACAGCAGCATATTTTGAGAAACTGAATGTATAAATGGTTGACCCAAGTTTTGCAAAGGTTCTTCATCATAAGAACTTTGATGTGGCCTCAGGGTCTAATCCTCTTAGCCTAAGTCATGTGTGCTATTTACATTTAATTGATTGGTTCATTTTTTGTTCCCCATTTTCTGATTACATTCAGAATATATATGCATGCTCCGAATTGAAACTAAATACATGACACTAATAAAATGAAACAAATTGAGAGAAATTTAGGAACTAATTGGCATACTATTAATTTTCTCATGAAAGATGGGGTGTAACAGATTTCTAAGCTGAAATATTGTCAAATTCAAAGAGTTCTGTACGCTACTTGTATCAAGAATGTGATTGAAAATTATTAATTTCTTGATGTTGCAAGTGCATTTAACTTGCAGCATCCATCCTCATAGGACATTATTTCCCTGCATTAGGATTCTTCGGAGTTCACCAGCAATTCCTTGCAACAAAACTGGCTTTCTTATAACTCCATTCATGCCAATTTTCATGCATCTTTCCCACAAATCTTCTTCTGTGCTCACAGTCATGGCAACAATCATAGGCCAATTTCGGCTTTTAAACTTGCGAATCCTTGTGGCAACTTCCAATCCATCTAGCTCAGGCATGTGAAGATCCAAAAGAACGACTTGAAAGGAAGATCCAGCAGGTCCAATGACACTAAGGCATTCAAATCCTGAAGAAACACAAGTTACAACACAACCTAGTTTCTGAAGCAACTTTTGAGTCACTGCTCTATTTACGTCGTCGTTGTCCGCCAACAAGACTTGGAGGCCTCTGAAGAAAGAATTTGAATTCGATGGCTCTAAATTTTCTCCAGGTTCAGTTATGGATATGGCAATAGATCGCTGTAATTGAAACCGAAGAAAAAGGGCCATGACTTGAGGAAAACCTTGAGCATTTGGCACTAACCATATGTTCCCTTGCATCAACTGCCAATAACATTGTAGATAGAAACAAAGTACAAAATCAATAGGGAGAAAAATAATCTATAGAACAAAGAAACTATTACTTTAACTGTTCCAACTATAAATACAGAATACCAATTGACGGCATTCAAAAGGACCTTGAATAGATTTTAAAATCAGTAAATATCTTTCCAAAGACATTGAAAAATAATTAATCAAATAAGCCAACAAAATCTATAAATAAAAGCAATCTAGATTCTAGATTATTACATCTAACAATGGCAATCCGTTAAGGAAACATACAACAAAGGTAGAACTTCGCTGTACTCCTAATAGGAAATAAAGAACTAAACATGGAGTAGCACCCAATATGCTTCTGAAAAAGATTTCAATTTTACAAGATCAGATTCCAATTTCCTTTTTCTTAGAAGGGGAAGATGGAAAGCCACAGAAATGTTTTCCAAAAAATAAATCATTTAAAGATCTGGAATTTCATTTCAAAAGAAGAAACCATGCAGCTTGCAAACAAGATATTTTAATTCAGTGATTTTTCTCACACATGCATAAAAAACAGATGCAAAGATCCATCCAGGTGAATCATTTAAAGGCTAGCATAAACAAAACTTACTTGGTCCTTCTACCATTATACTTTAAAGTATTTATATAGCATAAGAATAACAATAAAAATCAGTCTTAATGAACTTATTATCAACTCACATGATCAATGTTACAAAACACACCTGGATTATCCTCTTGCAAATGCTGAAGCTCAATCTTCCCTCAACCCTATCACTGGCATGCTTTCTACCCACAATCTTCCCTGAAAGAACTAAGCTCTCCAATTCAGAATCACGAGTATCAATTCCTATCTCAAATCTAATATTTACATCCCCACTAGAAGAGCTTGGTCTCCAGGTTGTCCATTCTTGGTCATTCCTTCCTTGACTTCCAGTTTCTGCAAAAACTCGAAATACAAGAACACCTCCCCCATCATTACCATTTATTATATTCCCAACCATATGCAAAATCACCTGAAAAACCCTCTTTTCATCCCCTATAACATTGTTAGGCAAAGATTTATCAACATCAACCACAAAACCAAAGCCCTTATAAACACACATGCACTTGGCAAGGCAAGCTGCTTCTTTTACCATAGCATGCAACCCAAAAGATTTCATCTCCAAAGGAAATCTTCCATCATATCTTGCTGAGTAGTCCATGGCATCATTTATCAAGTTTGATAGCACATTGCTGGTCCTAAGCATTGAATTCACAATAAGTTTCTGTTCAATCTTTAAATTGTCATCTTGTATCATCGAAAGCAAGCCCAAAATTGAGTGCATTGGCCTTCTCATTCCATTACTCATGACCTTCTGAAATGAAGTTCGAGCCTGGCTTGCCATCATAGCATTCATCTTTTCCTGCTGCAAGGCTTGATTTTGCTCCTCCAACTTCTCTCTCATAAGTTGAGAATCTTCAAGAATGGCAGCATGAGACAGAGCCACAGCCACCTGATCAGCAACCACTTTAATGATCTCTAGCTCTTGAGTACTCCACAATCTAGGCTCCCGACTAGGAAGAATCAAAACCAATATGGCATAACACGCTTGCCTCATCTCAGGCGTTCCCCCTTTGAAATTACAAACCCGGAGCATTGGCATTCGAATTGCAGCAACTGGTCCTGCCACACCAGAAACTCCTCTACTGGCAGTGGCAATTGCCGAATCAGAATTAATTATGTTTACTTCATCACTTCCCTTAATTCTCTCAACATCTGGATCAGTAATGGGTATAGGATAGTTAATATTCCTCCCATTCAATTCATGTGTGAGGTTCATCTCAGTCTTTTCAACATTTGGCATCCAAACTGCACAATTTTGCAAACCGAGAGTCTTAGAAAGCTCAACCAGCGTGGTGTAAAGAATCTTGTGCCTATCAAGGGACTTGCGAATCTCTTGAGTAAGCATTCTTACATGCATTGCAGCCTCCTTTTGTTTCATTATGATACCAACCTCCCTTCCAAGATCTGAGGTCTTTTTCTTCAGCATCAATTCTCTGACCTTCACTTTTAGAAGCAAAGGGATCAAAGTGAGAAGGGTTATGGTAGTGGCACATGATACTAAAGCGGTGAGAATTTTGAAGATAGTAAGTGCCACCATAAGTTGAAAAGTGTGGGGGCCATAAGTCCACCCATTCAGCAAATGTGTCATTCCACATAGCACAATGAAAGCAATGAACTGAAAGAGGACCCATTTGAATGGAAAGTTTGAGCAACTAACAAAGTAAAGTAGCTCAATTGGGATGGAGAAGTAGGCCACAGCAATGAGAAAATCACCAACTCTCTGGCACTCCAAAATGGTATCAATTGTCCACAAACTAGACTCATCATCACAGTTACATCTGGGAAACCCATTATCTTTTGCAAGCACACAAGTGAGGAGCAAGCAAATTAACACTTCAAATACCATTACTTTTATCATTGATCCAATGTGTCGCTTCTTCAATCCATCTTTTCATACAAATTAATCAACACCTCACACCCCGGTGAATAAGGAAATTAGAAAAACAAAAAAAGGACCCAACAATTTCTAGCTCCAACTCTCAACTTCCAATTATCATGCCCTGCCAAAATACAGTTCAGCATAAAAATTACAACTCAGTAAGACCCAAACCACATAAACAGACGCGATCCAAAGGAGAAAAATAATAATGATAATAAATAAATAGAAAGAAAGAAAAAAGTGTAGGAAACGAAAATTTCTTTTATTCTTAAGCTTTTTACAGTCCACATACCCCTTTGTGTGGAAGTGGCATGGATCAATAAAAAATAAATAAAACTATGCAAACAGTAAAGATAACATCTTTATCAACCAAATCGTTATATATATGTATCGGAATAAAATAATAAAAACTAAAGCGATAGCAAGAAAACCCCTCCCGCCCAAAAGAAACACCCACAAAAATCACTTAAAAATACAAGATCATAGTCCAACAATAAATATACAAAACACCCAGTAATGCAGACCAAATTTAAAAAAATAATTAAAAAAAAAGATAAAGGATATATATATATATATATATATATATATATATACACACACACACACACATGCCAATTTTGGTTCTGGACTTAGACACCAACCTTGATCAAATATTAACAATCTTCTTATCCTTACCCTGGAGATATCAAAATATAGTTAAAGATAGATTATTGATAGGAATTTTTAATGCAATCGGCACATAAGATTAAACAAGTGGAAGGCAGCATGACCACCTTCATCGGGAAGAACAGAAAGAACCCACTTTGGCATGCAACGAATCCCAACACAGAGGGAAACATAAATAAAAGTTTGCTTACTGTGGAGAAATGCAGGTACCTCGTGCCTTGGAATGGGGTGAAGCAGTGAGTGAGGCGTGAGAGTTTGTGCGGAAAGAAGGGTAGTTTATAGAAAGGAACATAACTGAAGAGAGACCCAGATGCTGGAAAATGAAGTGGAGTTGTACTTCTTGCTGCGTATGTTAAGGCAGTGTTGTCATATTGTGTTGGGTAAGAGAGAGAGAGAGAGAAGCGAAGAGATATGTGCAATGTGGTGTTCTTTGGAATCAATGCCAAATTACAAGTCACACTGTTTTTATTTTTATATATTTAGATAGTATTTTATTTATTTTACTTAATTTCTGTGTTTTTATTATAAGCTAGTGTTAAAATCACATAAGTGAATATATTATTATGCTTTTTTAATAAAACCATTTCTAATTTTTAAATGTATTTAATAATTTATAATAAATAATATTAAATAATATTTTTATTAAAATTATAATATTTAATATATTAATATGTTTGATTATATACTAATATACATATATCTATATATTAATAAAAAATTAATTAAATATGTTTTGATAAATTTCATATGCATAATTTTTACTATATACTTTTCTTTAGTTTTAATCACATGTATCTTTTATTTTATATAAAACTAACGTAAACAACAAAACTTTTTTCTTAATATTTAATATAATTATATTTATTTGACTCAAAGTTCAAATTAAGTTCAAATAAGTTTTTACTACTTAATTAGCGTGTTTAGTAGTACTATATATTTTTTAATATACTTAAAAACATTTTTTTATTTTTTTATTATGTGCACCTCATTTATATAAAATATTTTTTTAATATTAGTGTATTAAATAATTAAAAGTAAATTTGTTATAAAAGATTATTTATTATTTTAAAATAAAAAATATTAATATATAATTTTGATAATAAATATTTCTTATGTGACTAGACACACTTTTAAAAAACCATTTTCCCAAAAACCATGAAAGGAAAGGGTATGTAGCCCGTTGTTTCGTGGGGGATGAGTGAGTGTTAAAGGAGTGAGATTCAGAGAGAGAAAGGAGGGTCCACTTCTTACATGAAGAGAACCTGGACACTCTTCAACTATTAAATGTCCTTGTCACTCCTGAAAACCTTTGAATGTGTTGTTTCTTTAATTTTATCTATTTAAATTTCTAAAAATCAATATTACATATAAAATATTTTTGTAAATGTAATACCATGAATTTTGTTAATTTGTTTTATAATATTTTTAATATGTATCTAAAATTTTATTTATATTATAAGTTATAAACATGATACCAGATAATACTAAATAGTAAGATTTTAATATTTTTATTAATTATTTTTATTACATGTCTTACATACATGTTAGAATATTTAATATTATTTAAAATTTTACTAATCAATGTCCTAAAGTTATTAGTTAGAAAATTAAAACAAAAAATTATTAATTACAAGTTGTTTCTTCTTTGAAATTTAAACTGTTTATTAGCATTGAATGTTATTTGTACTCCTCTTTGTTCTCTCTCTTTTAGCAAAACAAAAGATGAAATAAATATTAAAAAATATTAATTTTATTCTTTAAAATTAATTTTAAATATTTAAAAATAATAAAATTTTATTTAAATAATTATATTTATCAAACTTCTATAACTATAATAAAAAATATTTTTAATAAGAAATTTAAAATTTTTAAACTCAACTCTAAAATAAAAATTATTCAAAATATATATTATGTTTTCTCTTTCTTTCCTTTTCGGTTTCTCAGGGTCCTAATGAAAACTTTAATTTTAAATTAATTATCCTTAACGTTATAGAAATTGAATTAATGTATCTATTTTATCTGGATATTTATTTACGTGTCATTTATAAGCTGAAAGAAAATAAATAATATACAAAATAGCAACAAAAAAAAATATACAACAGATAAAATTATTATAATTTATATTTATTTAGTTAAAAAATAGAAGAAGACATTAAAAAAATTTCTTATTTCACATAAAAAATGAATGAATAAAATATTTAAAATATTTTGCTTTCTTTTTATGTAAAATAATATAATATTTTCTTATTTCTTAAAGTGTGTCAATCTTTAGAAAAGCGTAAATTTTTTCATCAATTTTCATTTTTTCTACAAAAATATGAAAAAATTAAGTTAAGAGAAATCTTATATTTTTACATCCTTTTATTTATCTTCTTATTACTCAATAAAATTTATTTAATTTTTTTTATCTAATAAATAAGAATATTAATAAATTCAGCATTTAAGTAATGGTTGACATAATTTGCTGAGAGGGGAAAAATCTTAAACATTTTAGTATATCTAGATATATCTTTTAAATATTTACACTATTAAATCAATCAATTTTAATGAGTATTTTATTCTCTTTTATAATTATGTGTATATATATACATATATTAAATTTAAATTGTCTAATAATAATGTGTAAATTATACATATTTTCGTTGCAATAATTTTGTACCTACTTTTAACTAATTTAATCTAAATATTGGAGATAAAGTTTTAACTTATTTTTTTATATTACTTTATATAAATTTTAAATTTCTTCGTAAATATTCTTTATGGTAATTTAATTAAATCTTTATCATTTTAATATATAGTATTTATTGTTATAAAATTAAGTTAAAATAATTTTTAAAAAGACTACAAAGTACATTTTAAGTCCAAAAGGTTCAAAATATAATGTTATAATATTTTTTTAAAAATATAATTAATTTTAACTACTTTTTATTGAAATATGCAAACACTAATTAAATACGTCTTGTAAAAATTCCTCTATCCCATACTATTTGTCTTTTAAGGTAAATCATATTTTTAAGAAAAATATTAATTTTATAAATTACAATAATAGAATAACCTTATTTGGAAAAAAAAAATCCTTATTAGAAGAGTTATAATGTAGTTGTTCATCCATTTAAATATTTATAAATAAGAGAATTATTAAAAAATAATTAAATTAAATAGATAAGAGTCATGAGACTTTTAAAGTAAAACAAGAAACTATGTAATAAACTATTAAAGTCCAGACATGACATTTTTTATTGATACAGGGAGTTAAAATTTTAAATCAAAATCAAATTCAGATTAATATATTTTAAATATATTTTTAATTTAATACAACATATTAAGATTCAAAATTATATTAAATTAAAATAAAATAAAATTATAAAAAATAATATTAGATTATATAATTTTTCAAACATATGTTAAAAGATAAATAATAAAATTTTGTTTAACATTTTTATTAAAAATAAAAAAATATTATAAAATTCATTATATTAATAAATTAAATATTACTTTTCAAATAAAAAATGTATTATTTTAAATTTTTTAATATATATCTTTAGACACTTATTAAAAGAAAATGTTTTTATTTCACTTTTTACAGATCTAAGACACTGTGAATGTTCGATCTTGTGTCAGAAATCAAAAGCGCGACTTGTTGCCGCTTCCACTCACTACCTAAACAAGAATATGTTGCTTGGAATTAAGTGTGACATGTGATTCCTTCTACTTTTAATTAATCCCCTTTTTTCATGTTCACATAGTTAATGTTTTTTTTACAATAAATTAAAATACTGTGAACTAATTACTTAAACATAGTTGTTAATGAAATTAATTAAAATCATAGTATAATATATTTATTTTCATTTTTCGACTTATTCGTCAACTTAAGTCAATCGTCATGTTAAAAAACTAAGTAATTTAATAAAAATTAATTCAGTTAAATATAAATATAATGATAATTTTAGTTAAACAATTACGCTAAGAGAGAAGAAAACACTTATACGTACATTTCAACTATACTAAAAGAGACTTGACTAAGAACAAAACCACCAAGGCATGAAAATGACAGGTAAAACAATGGCACGGCAATGTAAATGTAGATTAAATAAAGTAAAGAGGATAATGAACGACAAAATCATAGCGCGGATAGATAACACAACGTAATTTTCTTAAATATCTAAAATAAATAAAAATAATAAAACAAAATATAAATTATATTTAAATAAAAAATTATTCTTTTGTTATAATTAATATAAATTTTTAAATAATATTTATTTATTTTTTTTACTTTTCAATATATATATTAATAAATTGAAAATATTTTTATGTACATATAATGTTAGTTTTCTTATTAAATTAAACAAATTTATTCAAATTTTTACAATTAAAATTTTTTCGGTAAGAAATTATAATTAAAACAAAAAATTATAA